GCAAAAAAGAAGTGATTATTGATAACATTCGAGCAAAGATTTGATAAAATATTTCTGTTTGGCTAAAATGTTTGCATGTAAAATTATTCTTATAGACTCAATCGTCTTCCTGGTATGTTAATCTTTAATTTCACTTTCTATCTTCTATTGCTTTGTCTGCAATAAGCTATGGATTTTTACTACTTTTTAGCTATTCTTGTCCATTAGATTGCATTAGAAAAGAGAGCCAAATTTATATTTTAAACTATTTAACAAAATAACGAATGAATTACATGACTCTATTAGTTATTATCACCTCGAATAGTATTCAAAACAATTGCTACCTGCCCGTATTTGGACAAGTAAATTCGCTACAAGTGACGATATCGCAATGTTGCAGCCAGTTCATCCGCAGAAGACGTGAAAGTAAAACGCAAAAATGTCCATTCAGTTATGCTGTGCTGTTCGGTTTCCATGCCAAAATCCCTAATTAATGTAATTATTACCAAGTTTTAATAACTTTTCTACATGCCAACATCAAATTCGCCTCAACTAACCACGACGCTGGCCCATCCGAAATGAGATTCCTTCCGCAAAGGACGGGTACCGAACTGGCCAAACTGAGCTCTCGAGAATGAGTCAGCTGTGCAAATGTACACACTTTTTGCTCTCTTCCATTCTCTTTCCCAACTTGCAGAGAGTTGCGCCTGATAAACTCCGAGCGCTTGTGTGAAGGTCGGCCCACTCTGGAAGATATGCAGCAGGTCTACCAGGGATCTATGCACTTTGCGAACATCGGCACGTTGATAATCGTCATTTTCGTGTCGGTCATTTTGCCCGGAGCTGCTGCTGGACTGCAGGTTTTCTCGAGTGACATGTTTTACGTCTGGGTACGTCTAACTGTGCAAGGTGTGCACCTGACACGCATACAAATGGGAATAAATTAGTTACCAACATTTTAGACTCCAATTACACGTAGCCGAAATATTGGTGAATTATTTGTAAATAGTTATCTCAACTTTCAGTTATTTCAGATCAAATCTTGATTTGAAAACCAAGTTGTCAGTTAAGTGCTGCTGTTAATGTAATAGGCAAGATCGTAGAACGCAAACTTAATTTGATATAATTCTGTTATTTTTCGAAGATATGCACACCGAGATGGCGTTGTCTCTATGAAAAATGATTTGACTAATTTAGGACTCCATATTTTAATGAGAATTCGTCGGGAAGAGATGGCAAAATAAAAATAGTAGTTTAAATAAATGAAATGAAAGGTCTAGTTTAGGTGAAGCAATTGTGAAGGAAACTTTTAACTAAACTTTAGACCATTTCAATCAAACTTTATTAATTCATATTAATTAATAAGTTCACCTTTCCACTTGTCTCTTTTTCATAATTTCAATAAACTCTTTTTTTCCATATTCTCAGAAAATTGGCATTTGTAAATTCACATTCTTCTGTCTATTCATTTGCATGGACAAGATTAACAACTCTGGGAAATTAAATTAAATTTAAATAATCATCATTTTTAGAAGTGGGCTGACCTCGTGTTCGCCACTTGGTCGTGTTGCCAGGTCAACTTGATTCTACCCACTGCTATAGTAGCTAGCGTAATTCTTAGTGGTTGACCATCAACTTGGTACCATCCCGGAAGTTTCGCCGGCATCATAATCACAATCACCAGTTGACCCATTCTCTGCTGAACGTTTAGACCATCACTTCCATGTCTGTCTACTCCATATCGTCTAATCTCACTCATGGTCTATCACAACTTCTGACTTGTTCATCTCCCACTCGACAGGAGCTGTGACCCTCTTGGCACCTGCTGTTCACCTTGCCCCTCCTTCCTCTC